AAGTGTCCATCAATTCATGAGGGGATTAATAAAATGTGGTATATGTATACCATAGAGTATACTCAGGCATAAGACAAAATGAATTAATACCTTTTGCAACAATCTAGATGGAACTGGAGATAATCCTCCTAAGTGAAATATCGCAAGAATGGAGACTCAAACACCACATATACTCGCTATTAAATTGGAACTAACCAATCAGCACTTATGTGCACAGATGGAAGTAAACCTGAATGGAAATCATGCAGATGAGAGGGGAGACCATAGGATAGGTGATATCGCACCTAATGAGTACAATGTAAATTATCTTGGTTATGGGCACAGTTATAACTTTGACTCAAGCAGTACAAAAGCAATCCATGTAACCAAAATATTTTTACCCCTTTAATATTTTCTAATAAAAAAATTAAAAAGTAGGAAGTAAAAATATAGAAATAATTCAGTGACTAAAGCATAAAAGAATACATTTTCAGCCTGTACAACTTCTTTAATCTTTAATTATGTGTATGATTCTCAGATTTTCTGGAAATAATATCTCATTAAGGAACATGGAAAACAATTCTTACAAAAATATTCTTCCATTTAAACAAATGTTAGGTAAACCTACAGTTTTTGACATATTGTTTTCTCCAGGCAATTATGAAAATTGCAGAGCAGAAGGTGATTTTAGTATAATTAACAGAAAATAATGGGAATAATGAATTATACGATTTAGAGATAATTGCTGGAAATTATGCTATGGAAATTCTCAGACTGATACTTTATGATTTGTGACCAAATTCCAATATTTCAGTAAATCCCCATGTTACTTTGTTAGACAGCACTACCTAAGATAATCAAATATAAAACTCATCTTGATGTGCCATGTGACTTTCCCATACCTGTTATTCTTTGTATCCATTTTTTTTTCTATCTTTTGAATTACATTTTGTACCATGAGCCAATGTCAGGCTTCCAAAAATTGTATATCACATAATCTCCTGTGGTTATTTAGTTGCTAAACAACTAGACTCTGCTTGAGGGCAAAAGGGAACAGGTAAGGTTCATTGTGAAGTTCTGTATCCTGCTGAGTTCATTAAAACAGATTGGGGATCCTATATCTTGCTTCTTTTTGAAATTATAAATCAGGTACTTCTATGTGTCTCCTTATAAAATAATGGGGCTTAGAACACGTATGACAACCCAAAAATCCTAACGGATCCTGATAGTGTCCCCTGCAGGAAGAGGCAACTTAGTTTTGTGGCATGTCTAATGTAAAGTTCGACCTTCAGAGTAATTATATGTTGCAGTTTTGTGACTGGTAGCATGTCAAGGAAAAGATACAAAAACTTTGCCTGAACATATACTTATGATGGAACTAGTCTCACACTGTTTTGTAATTTATTTTATACTCAGCAATAGTGTCATGAAAATTTCCATATTAGATAGGTAAGTAGCTTTAATATCCATTGACTTAATAGTTTTTCAGTATATGAACTTGCCACAATTTATCCTTAAATCCCCTATGTTCCAATACTGCCAGCATTGCTGCAACGATCCTGTATACTTCTTATTTTTGTTGCTTTGACAATTCTAAATTATCAAACTGATTGTTGTGTATCATTATGTATTGTAGATTATATGCATGTAATGATTATTTTGGTTCTTCTTCAAAACTCACACTTGCTTTCTTTTTATTACTGTTTACTAATGTTGGCATGTCCATCTTGTTCCTGACTTCAGTGGGCACGGCTTTTGTATTTTACTTTTTAAAACAATTTTGGCATTTAATTTCTGAGAAAATATCTTCATAAGGCTTAAGAAGTTTCTTTTTATTCTTTATTTAGATTTTTTTTAAATCCAAGAGTTATATATACAGATATGATCATATATATTTTTATTTTCCCTTCTTTTATAGGAACAGCTTCATTTATTTTGTTTAGAATTAATTTGACTGTAAGTAACAGAAACATCACTAACAATGGCTTAAGTAAGCATAAAAGGTTCATTTTTCTCATACCTATTGTTTCTGCAACAAAGGATCTTACACACACACACACACACACACACACACACACACACATACACAAATACACACGCACAAAATATCCATGTTTTATCTACCAGTCTGTTTCAATTTGTTAAACTGAAAGTTGAGAATCTTTTCTAGGTTTTCTTTTTCACCCTCCACATCCAAATTCCAATTTTGATATCTCTTGAATCTGTCCCCTTTTCCATATTCTGAGAACCACTGTGTCAGTTTAAGCAGAATTAATTTCTTATAACAATACTCTGACCTGATTCACTGCTTTATGTTTCTCTTCTAGTTTATCTTTCACAGAACTGACAACAGGATCTTTCTCATATGCTTATTAAAAATGTTGTTGTCTTGCTTAAAGTCCTTCAACAGCTATCACCCTCAGGGCAGAGCTCACATTCTCTGACAGGGAGTACAAGGCCCTTGGTCTTGCCACTCGCTATCTATCTGCCTAGCTTTGTCTCCCATCAATTTCCCGGATGAAACCAAGCTGCTGGCTATTCACCAGCTTGGCCACTGAGCTCAAAGCCTGTAGGACAGGCTGTGGTAACATGTTCTGAATGAATAAGTGGATGATAGAAAGACTTCTCTAGCTTGTTCATCCCTATGTTAGGTTATAGTATGATACTCCTGTTAAAGTCAGAGGAAGCAGGAAGGGTCTCTTCCTGACAAACCACTTTTCAATCTCAAGTGATATCACTAGTGACTTAAACCTCTTTAACATTGATGAATGCAGTTTTTAAATAATTGGATGAATGGCCACATGCAACAGCAGAGAAAAAGTCAATTCTTCTTCCAATGCTAAGGACTCACTTTTACTACCAACATTTGGCACACTAATAAGAATATACTAACGCTATTGCCTATTCACTGCCAGAAATGAAAGTTCAATATCAACTATACCACCCCTAAAATAGCTGTTTTGGGCACATATTGTCTAAAGTACCAAAGGATAACATTAAATCATTCCATCCAATGTGCAGATTTTTCCTGTTGTCTGAGGGGCACACTTTGCTGCTAATTAATTCTGGCTGCCTAAAATCTTTAGAAGCAACCATGTTTTCCTTTATTTTTTTATGGATTGTTTATAAATTATGCATTAAAAAACTTTCCATGATAAAATCCTATTTGCATTGTTTTATGGCTTGGAATTCTAGATTCTCAGAGCACAGACACTGGAACATATGCAGGTCTGTGTTTTGAAAAAAAAATTCATCCCTACTGTCAAATTCTCAGAGAGATACACTTGTCTTCCTTCTAAATGCCAGAGATGGTTGGCTTTATTGCAATAAAATATATCTGTTCCAACTTACACATTTGTTTTATAAATATAGATCTTGATTTAGTCAATAAAATCATATATTCTCTATACATAAGTTATCTGAAGTAATTTATTGTCTTTGAAGGTTTCCTGTTAAACGTATTTCAGTTTTTGCATCCCTGTGTTCAAAATTCTAAATCAGAAGTTTTGAAACTAAATCCCTAAGTGGCTAAATATGGCCAGATGGCCAGATAAACTGTGTCAACTTCCTATGGATCTCATTTTTCTCTTTCTTGACTTAGTTCTCTTTCTACCTCAATAAGTAGCAATATTGGACTTGTCTATGATTTGGAGACATGTGCTAACAACATTTAAATGGTAATTTTTCCAGTGTCAGACCATTATCAAAGAAGGAAGAAACTATACAAGGAGTGCAGGTGTTTGGAGATACATAAAACTGCTTTTTGTTTTCTATTTTTCTTAGATGGTAAGATTTTTATGGATAGCTTTTTATTCTCCTCTATCTTTATATGGAGGAGTGTTAGAATACAGCTTAACAGTGCAAAGTACTGATTAATAAAAGAATAAAAGATGGATACTATAAAAGAGAATGCTGAAGAAGTTAAAAACAAAAGTTAAGTAAGGTGAAATGGGTAAATATCTTGAAGACTTAGGAGGAAACCATGGAAGAAGACCTTAGAAAATTATGTATGATTGTAAACAGTTTGCAATAATTAATAATGATGGACTTTGTATTTAAGAAAAAAATATCAAGTAGGCAACTTTCCATAAATGAGGTGAAAATATTCATGAGGGTATTGGGTCCCTGTCAAATAATATCTTAAGTGGGAAAATTTAGATAACACGTGATAGCACACATTTTTTGGTTTTCTCTAGGATTCTTGAAGAATAATAATATGTTTCCTTTCTAAGGTTTCCCATCCATTTCAACTTTTAGTTTTTCTATTGTAAGATTTGATAACAGATTAATCATTTTTTTCATATCTCCTTGTTTTTGTAGAATTGTGTTCTGATTTCTTTCTTTCTTTCTTCCTTCCTTTCTTTCTTTCTTTCTTTCTTTTTTTTGAGACAGAGTCTGGCTCTGTTACCCGGGCTAGAGTGCCGTGGCATCAGCCTAGCTCACAGCAACCTCAGATTCCTGGGCTCAAGCCATCCTCCTGCCTCAGCCTCCCGAGTAGCTGGGACTATAGGCATACGGCACCATGCCCGGCTGATTTTTTTCTATATATATTTTTTAGTTGTCCAGCTAATTTCTTTCTATTTTTAGTAGAGATGGGGTCTCACTCTTGCTCAGGCTGGTCTTGAACTCCTGACTTTGAACGATCCTCCTGCCTCGGCCTCCCAGAGTGCTAGGATTATAGGCTTGAGCCACTGTGCCCGGCCGGTGTTCTGATTTCTTAAGATAGGATCCACCTATCCACTTTAGTTCAGGAATTCACAGAAAAATCAATTTAATATTTTTTATACAAGGTTGTATGGTCTTATTTACAAAGTATCGCTATTCCAGTGTTCCAAAATATTTCATTTTCTTCAATTATTTTGGATTTGTAAGGCCTTATCAAGACCTAGCTGACATAGAGATTTACGTACTTACATACCAAAGATAAACTACATGTTTCCTTTGTTTTTTTCATAATTTACTTAAAACATGCAAAAAATTTCCTGTTATTTTACTGGTTTTTTTTTTTTTTTTTCCCCAAGAACGACCCACATTTCTCAGGAGGCCAATTAACCAGGTGGTGCTGGAGGAAGAAGTTGTAGAATTTCGTTGTCAGGTCCAGGGAGATCCTCAACCAACTGTGAGGTGGAAAAAGGATGATGCAGACTTACCAAGAGGAAGGTAAGAACATCGTACGGGTGGAAAATTATTTGATAACCAATGAATAATTACAATAGAAACTGCCACAATTCACCACTCCTATGTCTTTTGGTATTATTTTCATACATGTGATATTTACATAGTCAAGCCACATATCTGCTGTTTGGATATTAAAGTCCTCAGGCTTTTGATGTCACTCTTTCGATGTATATCCACATTAATGCCTGATCCTTCACTTCATCTATTATCCCCAGATACCAAGGATTCCTGAGGTGCTTTATTTCTCATGGCCCCTTCCAGGGATGCCATTTACTTTCTGCTTGACCACCTGCCCTGCCCCCACAATGCTTGACCCCATGCTGGGTACCATTTGCCTTCCTTTATTGTCCAAAGCATCACTAAAAATGGCTGCTGAGTGTAGCAGCTGATGTTAAGATCTGGAGTAAAGGAAAGATCGCTTAGCCCAACACTGAAAAGGCAGCAAGTAGTTGACATTACTATCCACACGTGGGATTTGTCACACAGGGACCTCCTGTCACTTTCTTCCTTGCTGTATGTGGTCATGGAGACCTTCTCTTCTATCGCTTTTCTATTCTTCTCATCACAAGACCCTAAAACCCAATTTCTCAACACCTCTACAGTGCCCAAAAATGTTTGTCATTTTTTATAAAAATAATTTAAACATTTTTGTTGTCTAAATTTTTCTGTCTAAGATCTTGACCTTTAGAATCAAACACATCATTTGAGTGTTTTTTTTAAATACAATGAGCAATTCTATCCTTAAGATTTGTTTTGCCTTCCTCCTCATCCTAACTGCTGAAACCATAGCCATTACATCCATTTTAATCATTGTCTCTGTAAAATTGTACCTCCTCCTTTTTTCTAATTTTTTTTTTTTTAAATTAGGTTTCACTTAACTGATTGAAATTAAGCATGCTTCCACAGAGGCCATATACCTTTTGTGTGTTTCACCACTATCATTACTTTCCTAAATTTATGCATTCACTTCAAAATCTCAATTTTATATATCCTTAGGTCTGTGATACTATACTTTCTTTCCAAAGTCATGTCATCAGCAGTACTGACTTCAAATGAACCAAATATTTTACATAGTGATTGAGAGACCCTTTACAATCTAATCTGTAGGAATAAAACAAGTGAACATTTTAATTCAGTTAGGTTTTCAGCCTACATAGTAGGGAAAGTCACTTCTGTGCTTCCTTCATCGTTTTAATGCCAGACATCCATTTGGGTTTGTGAATTTGAGGTTTCTTATGCCATCTTAGCAGAGAAACAAGTTAAATAGCAAGGAGAGTTTACGGAATTCAGTTGTTGGTGTCTATCCTCTATGTATAGTCAACAACTTTTTTCAAATTTAAGAGCACATAATAGATAATTTTAAATTTTAATGTAAGAATAGGAAATTAGTTATATATTAAAATTTACCCTAGTGTAGATTAAGGTTAATTTTCAATTACTGGAAATATATATGTGTGTCAATTTAAAAGAATATCTTTAATTATGGAAAAATTTGAAATTTATGAGAAAGTTAAAAAGTACAAAGAATTCTGCTACACCCTGCACCCAGTTTTCCTTACTGCTAACATTTTACATGACAATGAAACATTTGTCACACCTAATGAACACATGTTGATATATAATAATTAAATAAAGTTATTTTGATTTCACCAGTTTTTCATAAATGTCTTCTTTCTGCTCCAGGATCCAATCCAGGGTCTTTATTTAGTTGGGTATGGCAGGCTATTGGCTATTGCCTTTTGTTGTCATGTCACCCCAGTCTTTGGTCTGAGACAGGTTCTTAGTGTTTTCTAATTTTCATGACATTAACCATTTTGAAGAGAAGTACTGGCAACGTATGCTCTAGAGTGTCCTCCACACTTGGATTGGTCTAGTGTTTCCTAATATTAGACTGAGGTTATGGGTTTTCCCAAGGAATCTCACAGAGCTGAAGTGTTCTCGTCGCATTTTACAGGAGGTACACAATATCCACGTAACAGCACTAGTGACCCTGTCAATTTTAAAACATTAAACAAGATCAAGTTGAAAAAGGATTGAAAAATAGAAAGTTGTAAGAGTGTGTTGTATTTTAACATGTCTGTGTTTCTGAATTAAGGTAAAAGAAAACTCAATCAAGACCAGTTTGATTTTTTCCCAGTTGACTGTTGGTCTTAGGTCATAAACCTGATGACGTTAGCTGCTGTACTATTCTGCAAATCTGGCCAAATTCATTTGCCCCAAAGTTAAAATAATACACGCATATCAAACAGCAGTATCCAAGCTACATTTTCAGAATCTATGATATCAAGGGCTTTAAGACAAGATTGAAATTTTGAGAAATCTTACTTCCACTAACTCCCTTTAAAACATTTTCATAGCTTCAGAATCTTTATTCTCCTGTTACTGGCTTGATACTGCTGCAGTACTTTGTGTAACCAGCTAAATGTTTTTAAAATATTAGGCAAATGGAAGTGCTGTGTGAGCTTTAAATTGTTATGTTAGAAAGGCTTAAAGCAAGGATCAGTGCAATACAGAAATTGAGGTCAGTATTTTTATCATGATAGAAGCATGTACTTTTTCTTGAATTCCCAATCTTTAAATGGTATTTCAAAGAAGCTTATTCATCTCTAGATTTCTATGTATTAGCATAAGCTTCACTTATGCATAATGAGAGGGAAAGAGACCTCTTTACTTGGTGAAGGATAATAGTAAAGACTTTTCGGCAACCACAGACTGAATCAACAACATCGATTCTATTACATTATTTAGGTCTCAGACTAGGGAGATAGCCATTGTTCTTGTATAAGCAATTGGTGTGGAGGATGACATTTCTTTGGCTTAACATTTAATGAAATTTGAATAAGGTTTGTGTAGTGGTTCATGCTTAACACATTTATAGTAAAGCTTTGTAGGGCAGCTGCATAGCCTGTAATTACCATGTAAGTAATATGTGACTGTTTTTCTTTTGGAGACAAGAAAAGCTTTTCGATTCAAGTTTAAATTTATGAAATGCTGTGAGAGCTATTTAAACCTTCAACACAGAAGAAGATAACTGTGCCAACCTTTCGGTAACCAGAGATGAATTAAGGGAGTATTTTTTCCCTTGCCATGAAAATATTTTTAAGTAGTACTCATGTGCTTCTTTCTTTTATTTAGACTTACACTCCTGACCTTTCTCAGTAACTACATTTAATGAAAGTACAATATACTCTTGGTGAGTTGTGTTAAAACGTTTTCTGACTATGAATGTTTCAGTAAGGTAGGAAGCACAGCAAGTCTAACAATAACCCTTATGCCCAACCAGGAAAAAGTTATGTGGACATTTTTTAAATGACCAAGGGATAAAATAAGAAGGAGCTTTTATATTATACATGTTACTGCCAAAGTATTAATTCCTTGCAGAAACTTCTGAAGATATTACTGTTTCACAATTGAATATTTTTAGGAAGCATACTGATACAGTGCCAAGTTTCACTTTTCCCAGAGGATCTCAATACATATGTGTTCAAAGAAATCAACACTCACTCATCTATTAGGGACAAGATTTTACACATCTATATAAAAATAAAGTGAGTAGGGGAAACAAGAAGGAAAAAAGCATTTTAAAATAGTTTATAATGATTATGATTTTTAAAATCACTTTTTTAAAAGCATAATTTAAATTGTATGAGATGCACTTTCAGGTTTACCTACATCTCTTAAGTGCCTCCTACATTTATAACACTCATTTTAAGCAAGGTAAATGTACTGTTATCAATTCTTTATTTCTTTATTTTGTATTAACAAGATTGAACAATGTGGGAAAGTATTTGTATGCTGTATATATTAAAGAAAGTAAACTAAAATAATGTTAGTTTCTTTCTTGGGTATTACATGTTGCTTTTGCAGGCAAACCTAGAATGCTTTGCTTGTTAGTACTCTTTTGATGATTAAGTGCCTTCAACACACTGTTTCACAAAGTATTTTGTGTGGTAGATGTTGCCAGTATTTATTATAAATGAGGTGATGTTACATCTTATGCCATGTTTCATCATAGCATAAGGATGTTGTATATTTTTGATATACCCAAAACATATACGTGCTGAAACTCTACGAAAAAATCATGTATTAACATACAGAAACACAATATAATACATTTGCAACCAAAGAAATAAGAAAACGTTGAAATATGTCAACACTTCAATATTCTGTTCAATCTAACCTTAATGAGAATTTAAAAAAAAAAAAACTCTCAAAATTTGGATAGAAATAGTGTGATTAATTTAATTGTGACTTCTTATCTGGACATGTTATAAGGGTTTGTATTTCAGCTAATTACTAGCAGTTTTTAAAGAACAGTAAACAGCAGATTTCATATCTTTCATCAATCACTTAATTTTTTAGCATATTACCATTAGTTAGCTCCATGATCTTTTTTATTCCATTTTTACTTATTTTCTAAACTATAAAGCGACACTAACTTCATCTATAAGGACCTACGGTAGAGAAAGGAATGTTCATAATAGCTTGTCAGAGGAAAAAGGAAATAAAATACACCATTTACATTCTTATGTATGCCTGCAAATTCTCAATGCAGTTGATGGCTTCCACATAGTGGATATAATTCATGAATATTTCATAAAAATAGAAAAGGGACTAGAGAATAAGAGTTTCAAGATATATAGAGCAAAATTCTATCAATTTTCCTGAACCCACTGACAAATTCTTTTTTCTAAATTGAAATCTATTTTAAGAGAGAATTTTTAGAGTTTTTAGTTCCATGAAATGTGAGATTCACATAAATACACGATTCTTTAAGAAGAGGAACTGAATAGAGCTACTTATAATTCCTTTATTTTGGTGGCATTTTTACACAAAGTGTCTCTTTTTGCTTAGCACTGGAAAATGTTCTTATATTAATTGTTTGGAGGCTCCATTGTTTAGAGCATGTGCTTCTGGGATGCAGAGATCCTGAACAGGTGCTCAGCTACCCTGCCGAGGAGATCGGCCTTCTTCACATATCC